GAATCCACTGTTAATCCCATTATTAACAATCCCATTTTTATTATGATGGATTTGTGATGGGTAAGCGTTAGTTATCTCATTCTTCAGTCAGTGTTTACGGTGTATATCATGATGGTTTTCGCTTGTCTTTACAGGTGTGGCCTACATTCTTAAGCTTCTTGATCAATATCATGAATTTGACTCTCTTCACTGGTTCCAGTCTGTCCAAGACAAGTACGAAAAGGAAAAGGTACCGAGTATCGAATATTCGTACAAAACAGAAAGAAGAGAAGAATATCGATAAAAAGGGAAATGTTTGGAGAATAAATGCAGTCATCATCATTCATTGCAAAGAAGCAAGATTTTCGATCAGGAGGGAGGGGAAGGTGGGGTATGTTTTTAGATTAAATTTGACTGCTTCTCTTGTTTCCTAGAGAGAAGTCCGTGCATCGCTTGAACGAGGAGTAAAAGATGAAAAACTACAACAAACAATGAATCTTACACTCAAAAGACTTTCAACTTACCAACAAGAGTTCGAGCTGGTCTACTTCTCTCTGAACAGTGCACGGATCTTCTTTAGAGCAGACAAGACTGCTCAAGAAGAAAAGGATGAGAAAGATGCCAGACCCGAAAGTGAAAGTATGAGCTAATATATAACCATGATCTATTATAGATACTGAATATGTTATTCATAGATTGTTTGTGTTTACTACAGCGGGAACGAACACAGAGGATGCAGAATCAACCCCACCACCACCCCCAGAGACACCACAACCAAGTTAAACCTTAGGTCAATAGGTATAACCATGTTTGTCAGGATATAGAGGCTTTGCACCATCATGTGATGGCAGCAATGACAGGAGGCACAATAATAGAGTCGTTCTCCCCTGGGTAAATGATTTCTTTCTCGTGTAAATCAGATTAGACCAGATTCAATTGTATCTGCCTCCTGTCATGGCTGCCATCACGTGATGATGCAAAGCCTCTATTGTAAGGTTCGCGTTTGTCAGCTACTCACACTACATCCTTCCTTCTTTCGTAGGAAATCAGTCAATGATGCAGGATTCTCTTACCTTCAAAAGACATTCCAGTGAAATGATCCCGTAAAATAGAATCCCAAATAGGACTATTTCACTATTGTCAAATATATAGACATAAATCATTTATGAATGTTCAAATTTAATAATTATCGATGGAATATAACACTGAAATAGATAATGAGAGGTCAAAACAAGTTTTAGGAAAATGTAAAGAAGGTATACGAAAGATAGCGTAATCTTAGCCCTGTTGCTGTGCACTAGCAAACTGCACAGAATAAAATGAATTTCTGTATTTTTATATTCATGGTGTTGAGAACCGAAATTCTCCGCTTCTTGATGCACAGTTTATACAACGAAAATAAAATAAATGATTAGGATTAATAATAGTTGTGTGGGCTTCCTGTGGTCATTGTTTATTTACCCAGTACTTCATGTCATGGTGTGGAACGCCTGCTGATAACGACGTTTTGATTTATGATCTGGTGTCGTGTCTAGTAACTGGTATTTCCAACTAACTGTTTATGAGAACACAAAGAAAACCAGAGAGAACTCACCCTATTTGTGGGGATTTCTGTTTAAACTGCGATAATGTGTCTTTCAAAATAATTTCAGATACCTCCAACTAGTTAGAAATACAATAATGCACTCGGGAATCTTGACTCTAGGATTAACAGTGAATTTTTTAGCTTCTATTTGTATAGTATTCCTTAACAAATGGATCTACGTGAATTATGGATTTCCCAACATGACGTTAACGTGTATTCACTTCTTGGTAACATACGTCGGGCTGGTGATATGTGTTTTCTTCCGATTGTTTCAACCAAAGCAGCTTCCGTTGTCGAAGATGATTCCACTTTCACTTTCGTTTTGTGGCTTCGTGGTTTTCACGAACCTCAGCCTTCAAAACAATACAGTTGGTACCTATCAGCTAGCAAAGGCTCTCACTACTCCCACCATCATTGGCATCCATACTTTCATCTACAACAAGAGTTATCCTAGTAATATTAAACTCACCATAGTAAGTTGAAAATGAACTCATTAATTCATTATAAGGACAGTCAGACTAATAGACTTTACTAAGGATGTAAATTTGATTGGTTTTAACTGTAGAAGTAAGTTATCTAAATGTTTTTTAACCCCTTTTCATTGCATTAAAAAAATGTAAGAATATCGTAGTTGGCTTGAAAGTATAGGAAAAAGCAAAGAACTGAATAATCTGACCAAAGATTTTCTTACATTATGAAACAATGAAAAAATCCTAAATTTGATCAGCTGTAAGACTGAAATGAGCTTTGTAAACACGTTTATTCATAAGAAGAAACTTCATTTCACTGTACAGATGCCTGATCCGTACGACATGGCAATTGATGATTGTGATTGCAGGATCCGCTGTTATTGGTTCAGAGGATGTCATCAATTTCTTGCTACAATAATTCTGTCCTGTGCTGTATCAAAGAGTCACGCAAATGTAATCTTGTTTTATTTTTTTATTCCAGATTCCAATAACTTTAGGAGTGATCTTGAATTCATATTATGATGTGAAATTCAACATTGCTGGTACAATTTTTGCCTCTTTGGGAGTCATCATAACTTCATTTTATCAAGTGGTAAAATAGTATTACTTACAAGACTATATCTGCACCAGTCCAGCTGAGTGGTGAATTTTGTTTCAGGCAATCACAGCAAGTTTACTAAAATCCAAATAACCCATATTTTTGCATATTTTTCTGTTTTCGTTTGACTAAAATATAAAATATGTGCCTATGAGAAGCGGAAATATGGAAAGGAAGAATAAAAACAATTTCCCTTTACCACCATGTTTGCTTCGTTCTTTCAATTAAGCTTCTAAAATGCTTAGGGTTGATCATTTTGCTAATCATGCTTTGCACACCTTATTTACCACTCAGCTGGGTGAGTGCATTATTAAACTAGAAATATCAATACAAGTACTCCAAGTTTATTCCACAAATACAGATGATATGCATTACATATAACACTAAACTTTCTCCATATTCTAGATGGTTGGAAGCAAGCAGCAGGAGTTTGAAGTCAATTCCATGCAACTTTTGTATTATCAGGTATATGTTATATGGTGTGTGATATAGTAATTAAAATATACCTTAATGGTATATACCTATTTTTTTCTCTCTCTCTCTCTCTTTTATCAACGCTTAAGATTGTTAAGCGCATTTGATCATTTTGCCATGGAAA